GGCACACACACACACACACACACAGGCACACACACATACAGGCAAACACACACACACACACACACAGGCACACACACATACATACATACACATTCATAGACACACACACACACACACACACATGCCCCAGGCTGCTGTCAGTCACAGCCCCTGCCTTTACTGCCTCCATAGCATTTGACTCCCCCCGGTATCCAAGGCCAGATGCTTTCGCTGGTGCTGTTCCCTCTAGCCTGGAACGCTCCTCTCACCCAAAACAGTACCCTCCATCCCTCTTTTTCCCAGGCATCCCTAATTACCTGGTATCTACCCCAACACCCCCCTCCCCCATCTGGGGGGGGGTATGTGCATTTCGGGGGTATGGGAATCTTCACTGAGAACAAAGTCTGCTCCCTAACGATGTAAACAGCGGCATGCTTGACCGCCGCAGGCCCCTATCACGTTATCGCCCCCCAGCCATGGGTCGCAACCCCACAATGGGGTGGGCCGCCTTATCCTCCGCCTGTTTCTGGGGGAGCTGGGAGGACGCCGTGCCTGGAATGCCAGTGGAATGCCAGTGTAGCTGCCTGTTAATGGCTAAGTTGCGTTCGACAGTGAGCTGAACGCCTCTGCAGTGCTGTTATCCAGCGGCAGCGGTGAATAATGAGGTCGTCTGAGGACATCGCTTGTGGCCCCATGGCTAGATACTCCTTTCCATGTATGAGAGCCCCCCTCCCCATGGGCCCAGTCACATGACCTACCTTGGAGGTGTCTGCTCCTGAAGTGGTCCTTGGGCTTTGTCGGATGGGCCCTGGCGTTTCCGTCGCATTTCGGCTGCTCGTATCTGCACGGGATGCAGAAAAGCAAACATGCCATCTCTGGATAACTCCCACAATGCTGCAGTACAGGGTTCATATCGAGCAATGCTGTAGACATGTATATACAATACACTATTTATATACCATATCAAATACAATGTGAAAGACAGAAGACGAGCTAATTGGCTCATGTCATGAGTCAAGCCACGCCCACATCAGTCAGCACAGTTTCAGTGTCGAGCCCCACAGTGGTCTGGGAGGAAATGATTTGCTCTCAGTTCTAAGAAGTGTCTTTGTGGGTCAGGGTGTGGATCCAAGTTTAGCTTGAACTCCAGAGCATGTTTTATTCTGTAAATATCACTGCAGATGATACTGTCACTTGCTAACAAGTGACCAGGGAGAGGAACCGTTAGTGTGAAGTGGTCACAGGGAGGCTTTTATGTGTCAGAAAAGAGAGGTCCACAAACCTCCATCTCATCGCAACAGAGACAGTCAGTGGCAAAACACAGGGGCATGTGCCCCCACCTCTCGTTCTATGCCCCCGCTCTGTTCCCCTGCCCTGTTCCCCGACCCCCTGCACCGTGTCCCCGCTCTGTTCCCCTGCCCTGTTCCCCGACCCCCTGCACCGTGTCCCCGCTCTGTGCCCCTGCCCTGTTCCCCGACCCCCTGCACCGTGTCCCCGCTCTGTGCCCCTGCCCTGTTCCCCGACCCCCTGCACCGTGTCCCCGCTCTGTTCCCCTGCCCTGTTCCCCGA